ACGGATTAAAACAAGCACCTAGGGCGTGGTATGGTAAGATTGCTGAATTTCTAACGAAAAGTGGTTATTCAGTAACACCTGCAGATTCTAGCTTGTTTGTCAAAGCCAATGAAGGTAAGCTAGCTATCGTGCTAGTGTACGTGGATGACTTAATCATAACCGGTGATGATGAGGCAGAAATTCTTCAGACGAAGGAGAATTTATCAGTTCGTTTCCAGATGAAGGAACTTGGACAACTTAAGCACTTCCTTGGTCTAGAGGTTGATCGTACACACGAAGGAATATTTCTATGTCAACAGAAATATGCTAAAGATTTGCTGAAGAGGTTTGGAATGCTCGAATGTAAGTCAACTTCAACGCCAATGGAACCAAATATCAAAATGTGTGCACATGAAGGAAAAGATTTGGAAGATGCAACAATGTATCGACAATTGGTAGGTAGTCTGATCTACTTAACCTTGACCCGACCTGACATTTCTTATGCAGTTGGTGTGATGAGTCGGTATATGCAAAATCCAAAGAAGCCTCATTTGGAAGCAGTTCGACGAATACTGAGATATGTGAAGAATACAATTGACTATGGTCTTTTGTACAAGAAAGGTGAAGACTGCAAGTTAGTTGGTTATTGTGATGCTGATTATGCAGGAGATCATGACACCAGGAGATCAACAACTGGGTATGTGTTTAAGCTTGGCTCCGGAACAATTTCTTGGTGTAGCAAAAGACAACCAACGGTATCATTGTCAACCACTGAAGCTGAGTATCGAGCAGCAGCAATGGCAGCTCAAGAGAGTACATGGTTGATACAGTTGATGAATAATCTACATCAACCAGTAGATTATGCAATTCCGTTGTATTGTGACAACCAATCGGCAATTCGGCTGGCGGAGAATCCTGTCTTTCATGCAAGAACTAAACATGTGGAAGTACATTACCACTTTGTTAGGGAAAAAGTTTTGCAAGAAGAGATTGAGATGAGGCAAATCAAGACAGATGAGCAAATTGCTGACTTGTTTACAAAAAGCTTGAGTGTTGGAAAGTTTGAACATTTCCGTCGTCAGCATGGCGTGATTGAAAGAATGGAGGCTAACATTGAGGGGGAGTGTTGAAAATTCAATATTAGCCTATATGTTCACACCTAAATTAATTTGATGTCATTGCTTACATCAATTTAGTTTTGATGTCATTGCTTACATCAATTTAGTTAGGTGAAAATTAAGTATTTTTCTCATGTTTTAATTTCAATGGTTTAGATTATTTAGTGTTTATTTTAATGAGTGGTTTAGATTGTTTCTTGTAACCTATAAATACCCTACTTGTATTTGAGTTTTATCATCCATCAATCAAAGCTTAATTATAAGCATTTGAAAGCTTTCTTAAGAGTTCTTCCCTTTTGCAATTTTGTGAGATTATTCTAAAGAGAGTTTTTTTTTTTTATCAATTAGAGTTTTTACTCTATTTTGATTCAACACTACTACTGGAAGTGCCATGTCCAAATTTGACTTCATTTTTTTTTTTTGGATCTATCACCAACTTTTTGATGTTCATTCATAATAATAAAACACATAAATTAATTGAATGAAAAACAAACCATATATTCACAATCAACTCCTTCCATCGAACAATATGCACTTCACATTTTACACCAATATATTGTTTACCTTTTCCTCATTTTCATAAACATGTCATCACATCACATCGTACATTTTATTTACATCCAACAGTATGCACTTGCATCACTTCAATCTAAAATATTTTATAACAATATCATGCATTTCTTCATTCGTTTAATATATCACATCAATGCAGGGCTTATATCTATGCATTCAATATCAGTTACAATCGATTATGTTATATACAAGCTGTTACATTTTTTGTTAAACCCATGATGTTACATCACAGTACCGGTTTAATGAATTACAAATATTGTTATATACAACCACAACATTTTCGACTCCAACCCACTATGTGAATATTTAAGGAGTTCAGGCAATATGCTTTGGGGTGGTTTATAAACAGAAAAAGTTGTCAAACAAAAATATTGAGTTCTAGGGACAGACGTAGGGGTGAGCTTGAACTTATAAAATTTTAGGGGGCGGACTTGGATTTATAAAATTCTTGGTGGCAAAAACAAATTTTCAACATAAAATACATAGATAAAATCTAAAATATATGACAATTTTAAATTTTTAAGGGGCGACCGCCCTCGCCTAGGTCCATCCCTAACAGGTCCAAATAATTTTCCGATTCAACAACGCATTTCCAACCAAATAATTTTCTTCATAAACCCTAAACCCAAATTACAAAAACTGAAATATGCATACATTTCCTTTCTTTAAAATGTGATTATGAGTTTCTTTCATACCGGTTCCTTGCAATTTCGCCTCAGTATTGTTTGGGAAAACTTTTTATCACACTTTAGGTTAAAACCAGAAAAGTTATTGTTGTTATGAATTTTTAATATCTGAGATACTTTATTCACACCAATCAAAAGAATTGGCCTCGAGTTACTCAATTATTCTTCAATTTCTAAAAGAGTTTTTCCACTAATAAAAGTCCTTTTTGGACTCGTGATAGGTCAACAATCAAGACTTTCTTGTACAGTGGATGATACTAATCAAGGGAGGTGTCCTGGAACTTCTAATTTTGTAGGGTGTGGAAGTGGAATGCTGAAACTGCTAACGTATACTTGGAGAAAGCAACAAAAACACATGAAGCAGGGTGATGATTGCAATAGAAAGAATCTGCAATTTCAAGTTGGGGATTTAATTATGGTTAAACTGATGCCAGAGCAACTTAGTTTCTTGTGATAGAGGGATCGTTGATTGGTTCGCAAGTATGAAGGACCTATTGTAATTTTGGCTAAGTGGGGAACGCTTCTTATAAAATCGATCCTCATGCTTTCATGCTACGTCGACAAATTAGGTGGGGGGAGAATGTTTTGGCCATCTCCTTTATAGGGCCACAATTGATCAAATAGAGTAACATTATTTTAAGATTTAAAATTTAGCATTTATGTGTTTGGTGAAATAGTTTATGGTTCAGAATTTAAGGTTTAAAATTTAAAGATAATTTTTTTAGTGATTATATTTTAAGATTTATAATTTATAATTTAGTGTTTGGAGGTTTATGTTATAATTTTTATTTTCATGGTAGTTCTGTTCAAAAATAAATTAGGACTAAATATTGCAAATTAAGTTTTCAACGAAGGGTCAATCCTTAAAGTATCTTTGTAATATGCTGTCAAGTTTCACTTCAATTAGATTCACTATATCTCTAAGTTCATTTCAAATGCTTTCGGCTGGAATCCTCTACAAAATGTGTAACTTACAATCATACAATTTGTGATGGTCTTATATTCTATGGTTTAAGATCAATTTAATCATTGGACAAAAAAGTTTGTTGGAAATCTGACTCCCGGTTCAACTGATTGGACTATTTAACTTCATATAAATCTGATGTTCAAATATTTAATGTAAATTAGCTATTCAATATAGTTGATAATTAACAGAAACAAGCGGGTTGATTAATGGAATGATAATTAATTTCAAAAAGGAAAATCAATTATATAATAATGGAATCTTTACTTGTTCAACAATTACCAATTATCATATAATTGTTAAGCCAAATAGACAATCAATTCTCAATTCAGACCTAATTAAATGATTAAAACGAAGTAAAAGATCTAATTAATTATAAGATTAGGCTCAAATTTGTCAAGGGTTTTAGGGTTTTAGGGCTTAGGGTTTGAGTTTTGGGGTCTAGGGTCAAGTAGGGAGTGTTTAAATCTAGGTATCCGATGTTCCGGGTCCTCGGGTACTTGATTGGCTGGTCATTGTCCAGACCTGGATGTTGCAGGTACTCGATAATTGAGTACTCGATTTTTTATCATTTTCAAATTATTAATTTAAAAAAATACACAAATTTAAATGTTCGAGTTACATACTCTAATATCCAAACATAGAATTTAAAAGTTCGAAATACATAATATAAATAAAACATAAAAGTTGATAGCCAACTTATTTGAATCAATACCAACAAATGAGTTTTCCAAAAGGGATTTAAGGTTTGTAAATACATAATTTATGCCAAAGAAAAACAAACCATATACTACAAAGAATCTTAACAACAATCATAATTCACCACATTCATTATCAAAGAGTCAAACACAGAATCATCATTGTGCATAATAATTTATGTAAAGTAAACAAGTATGACGATGACAAGAAGTTTTTTCTGCATATTCAACCCTGACAAATCAAATTAAGCTTCTAAGACAAAAGCACAGTACAGACTTGCACAATGACATATTAAGCAAATGGGAAAACAAGAACCTATAACCGGGTACCCGAAAAAAAATTAATTTTGTGACCCGGCCTGACTTGGAAAATGTCAGGTTGAGTATCCGATCCAGAATTTGAATTTTTTTAAATATCTAGATCTTTTGATCGGGTCGATGGGTAAGGTCATCTAGGTAGGGTATTTTTGAACACCCTAGGGTCAGGTGTGTAGGGTTAGACCTAAGTCCAAAAATCTAGGTTTGTTTAAAATAGGTTGGACTGGAACTTCAAAATTCAAGACCCAAACCCCACTAAGGCAGTTCCGTTTTATAAGTTTACGATATGTTATATTATATTATATTTATATATCATATATAAAAATAATTTTATAATAGACATAAAAACAATTTTAATGAAGAAGAAATTATATTAAATATTAAATTAAAATAGATAAAATATTATTAGAAAACATACACAGATTGAAATGAACTAGATTAGTCATTTATAGATATGAACGAATTTGTATAAATTTTAGTACTTATTTTACAGGTTAGACTGTCACATACAAACATAAAATATGTTAATCTCTTGCATAAATTCAGTCTTAATCTTACATTAACCTTTGGCAGACTGAAATATAAGATGATATATATATATATATATATATATATATATATATATATATATATATATATATATATATATATATATATATATATATAAAGTAACTAGTTGAATGACATGATACTTCCTTCAAAGAAAGGTCCAAAGAAGGTTATGTTTTCAAATTGTAGCTATTAAAGATGAAGACAAGATGGCCAATTGAAAGCCAACATCATGTTGGCAAGTTGACAACTATCATCATCGCAACATTAAGCGTATGAAGGTTTAAAGATTTAACACCTTCAATGGCAGCCAGTGTGTTAACTATTCTCAATCACATCGAAATACTCGAATGAGTTTCGAGTTAAAGCAAACACTTGATGGCCTGCGAATTTTGGGGGTCGGAGAATCATCAGCCAACCTTCCAACGAGGGAACTTGTACATCTTGGGCAGCTCTCAGGTTTGCTTTGCCACAGTACTCGACGGGCACGGCTTCTTCGCCTATCTCCTCTACAAAGGTTTTCTTCTCATCTTCATTGGTCACAATTAGAATCTGCATTAACAGAATGTTTTTACTACAAAGGAAACTGTAGCTCGACATGGCATGAATCAATCGAGCTAAGCTTCAGTTTACAAGGAAATACCTTTTCAAGTGTTGCTTTCTCAATGAAGCTAGAAACCATCCTCCAAACACTAACAAAAAACCTAGGCATATTCAAAACGTAGCACTTTGCTAAGCGCTCTGGGAAATCAGCCTGTAATAAGTGAAGATTAGCACTAACCAAACAATAAAAGAAAAAAGCATTAAGTTTCTTATACAGAAGCTAGAGATAAATACAGTTAATTATCGGTCGCGATCTAGTATCGATACTAGAGTCCAATACAATATAGATTGGGTACAAAAATATATTCCTCAAAATACATGAAATGATATATTCTCGTATCGAACACATGACCATATCCGACATTTTATCTGAATTTGAGTAACATAATCCAAAACAAAACCAAACATTTAGGTGTTATTTGCTAAGATTCTGCTTACTAGTGTTGCATTTACTTCTAAGACACAAGAAAATGTTTGGTAGAAAACTTGGGGAAATAAAATGTTTGGAAGAAAGCTCTGTAGAAAAACTAGGTTTACTTGTTCTCGTTCGCTTTGACAATGTACACAAGTCCTGCAAACATAGTTGTTTATACCCGGATTTTTTAGATAAACAACATTCATTTTTACTACTGAGATCACCTAATGAGTAATCCCTTGAGTCCACCATAGTTCTATTCATGATTTTGTTTCTCTTGTGTAATCCCACATGAGGCAATGTTCTTTTGAACATGTACCAGAAAACAAACATTACCTGTAAGAACTGGAATCCAGTTATTAGTCCACGTGCATCAACATTTTTGTATGTAATATTTTGAAAATCAAGAATGCCGATCAACTTCTCGTTTCCTACTTCTCTTCCTCTGATGGCACTGAAATTGGGACAACTCAACAAGTCAAAAATATTATTATAAATCAGCTAAACAATACCAAGTAAATATATAGCCATGGGTGCTTGTATCTCAAAACAAATTCTTTTGTTTTGTTTTATTGTCAGAAAACAACCTTGCTATGGTTTTGTCTAGCAGATAAACCACGAACTCTGCATCAAAAGATACACAAAAAGACACGTAAAGAGTAAATTTTGAAGTATTAAAAAAAGGAAACTTGCTTGAAACAACAGAACAAAATCATAACATGTGAAAAATAATCTTAAATAAACTTTGCTCTAGTATCCTCCTAAATCCTAATTTCATAATAATCCATGAAGTTCATGTGCAAATATAATATACTTTAGACTTTCAGGCACCACGGATTCAACTCTGGCATTTATGGGCAAAATTGTTTGAATAATGGGCGTGAAACAAAAATTGTTTATATAATGTGTAGTAGAAATTATTTATTCAATTAAAACTTTTGCTACAACATTAAGTGGAAGTGGTGAAGATTATTCGTTGACTTTTGGAAGTCGTCGGGACTACACGACGACTTTTCTTATATAGGTGACAAAGAAAAACATAATTTTGGACAGAAATCGCGATAGTCTCGACGACTTCCAGAAGTTGTCTTGTAATCCTGAGTAATTAAAATAATTTCTAATACATTTTATGTGACCCATTTTTTCTTTCTCACTTCATTATTCAAACAAAATTATCGGCATTTATGAGCATCCTAAAATAATAAGCAATGTCTAAAATGTTTTAGACCTCAGATTTATGTGTTTTACCCCCATTTTGTGCCATTTTCTAATGATGAAGCCTTCCTATCAGGAGTCTGGTAACCAAAAGTTGTCATTTCAACAATCGGTAAGGAATCGAATTAAAGTACATTATAAGCAAAATTGATCAATCATGAAGAAGTGAGAGCAGGCTAAATAATTACTCTTGAACTGGAGATGATCCTCGGGAGGATAATGTTTGCAAGCTTGAACAATCAGCACTGGATGCCCTGCTTTTGACAAATCTTGCAAAAAAATCTTTCTAGCTTCCAATTGATCAGGAACTTCAGAATCTGCAACGAACCCATTAGGAACTAATGAAGACCTCCACTTCAGCCATTTAACAAACATCTTTGAAGCATTATCTGTATCCATTGACCTTGCAATCAAGAACCTCATGAGCGTGGGATCCCCATATTTCTATATTAACAAAAAAAAAAGGGTCAAAAACACTGAATTGAAGTAAATAAAATTATAAATATGTAATTTCAGTTGCAAAGGGTAGTGATTAGATGCCTCTGTTGAAAACCCAAGTTTCTCAACTGATTTTCTCATCTGGGTAAGCTCAAGTTCATGGCTTTTCTCCATGTTAGATCAAAAGAAACCTGCTTTGGCTTGTCAGAGAGGGAGAAGTAATATAGAAGAAAGGATAAAGAGAAGTTGATTATACAAAGGGAAGAAAAACAGGTGAGTAGAAGATGACAAAAAGAAAACCGGAATAAAGGGAGGAGACAAGGAGATTAGGCCACAGGGCAGAGCAAAAAAGAAAATGGTTGGCCTGTTGCTTCTGGAGTTTAAGTTCCATTTTCAAGCTTGAAAGCAACTTTCTCAGATTTTTTTTTATTAAATTAATTGATTCTCTCTAACCTAGAAAAAGGGAAAATGGTTTTGTATAAATTTTTAGGATAAATTATACTTACTATTACTGTATCTTTTCATTTTGATCATTGATCTTCTAATTTTGTCAACTAAATTATCTAATCATTTAATTATTAATCAAACTATCATTAACATTTAGTAGATAAAATGATGTGGCAATTAAATGATTTGGTATAATTACACATTAGATCCATGTTGTTTGCATAGTCTATCAATTTGATTATAATTTTAATAAATTAAAATAAATTTAACTAATAGAATATGGAAGTAACAAGGACCCCAGACATACAACTTATAGATTTACCTAGAGAGTTGGGTTACCTTCACTCTAACAATAGGAGTTACTCTATTATGATTTAACAAATGTTGAGATGCATTTGCCCTAGTGATGAGGACGTCGCCTAGTCATTTCTACCAAGGCAAAGATGCCTCAATCACACTTGCTTAATCTTTTAATAGCGTAGAGATGCCTCCGTTAAACATGCAGTATAACTCTGCAGATTGAGTTACCTCTTCTATAGGTCGAAGGCGTCGAGATGCCTCTGCTCCTATAAAATCAGAGAAAATCCTTCTAAGACTAATCAAAAGAGTTCAAATGTCTATATCTTGGCAATAAAAATTAATCAATTATTGATTTATAGGAAGTAGAGATGTGTTAATTCTAACAATAAGAATTACTCATGTAACGTTTCAAATCCCGAGTTAAAAGTTTGATGCTAACCCAATAGGATTTTAGGTAAACCCATTAGACCAATAGGAGGCCTTTGTTTAAGTTTGATTTGGATTGGGATTGGATTGAGCCCAATTAGAAATAAAAAAATACATTTTTGAATGGTGACCAAGCTACAGGGACTAAGGAGTAATTTCACCATCTAAAGTTTAAAAGGTTGATTTCATTTTCATATTAGTGAGGTCACAACAGATACCCGCTCTTTCTTCCCACTCTCTTTTGTCATATTCTTCCTTCAAACTTCATCTCTTCTCCATGGAAGCTTGAGCAAAATGTAGAAACTTTGTTGGCCTACAATCCTAGTTCGGTTTTGCTAAGGTAAGAAATGTAATCAACAACCTTAGGGCTTTCATTTAAGGTCTCAATATCAAGTTTTGGTTGTGGTAGTTGTAGATATCCATTTTCATCCGGGGCTTATTTAGTATATATATTAATATAATTTTTGAAAATATTCTTAAAAGTATATAATATATAGGTTTTTTTTAAATATTTTTAAAAACATATAGTATATAATTTTTAAAATGATTTTTGAAAATATAATGTATGCTATATAGTTTTTAAAATAAATATAGTATACATATTATTTATTATATTTTTATTATATTATATTGTTATTAATATTATTTTTCATTTTTTTAAGGTCCAATGGGTCCAAAAATTCAAAGTTCGGGTCCAAAGATGAAGCCCAACTAAGCCTGCAAGCAAACCCGGTGGGAAGCCCAGCAAGCAAGCCAAGATAGAAAAAATATCTATTAGGGTTTTGGTGTATAGTCCCAACGCCGCATGGCTTACAACCGTTGGATCTGACCATTTGATCCAACGGCCGAAAAACACCAAAGGAACCCAACGATCGACGTTCAACAACCCGTGAAGACCACACGCCGACAAGGTCATCACTATGAACTAAACCAAAGCATTCCAAACTGAAAAATCAAAACAAAATCGGGATTTCCCATCATTTTCAACCAACACAAACCCAAGCAAATCGAAAAACGGGGGGAAAGAACCCCCAGAAGAGCCTCCATCAAGGGGTTATATAAACCTTGCGAAATGAAGTCTCAACACAGAAAAAAGGAGATCAAATGAACGACAGCAATCAAAAACCAAAATATCACAAAAAACCCAGCAAAAAATCGAAACAACATAGCAAATAACCATCGAAATGCACCAAGATAAAAGAGGAAGCAATACTACACGGTAAAAATCGATAATCAATCAAAAATAACTTTCGAAAACAACAAAAAATGAAAAACAAATCAGTGTTTGCATCGGTTTTTTCTGATCGGGATAATAAGGGTTGTCGAGAAAGCGAAGAGCCACACCTAAAAAGGTAAAAACCCAAAAAAAAAATCTTTAGATCTACGTCGAGAGGGGCATTTTTTCGATAATTGGGCCTCGATTTTGTGCTCGTGAGGTTGGGGGAACGGTTTGGGTAAGTTTGGTTTTTTCGGCCGTCGAGTGGCGGCCAGAGCAACGGTCGACTGTGGCCAGGATGGTGGGGCTTTGTCGGAATGTGGTCGGCCTATGGCTGGTTGGAGGGAAAGGTTAGGAGGATTTTTTTAGAGTGAGGGAGTTTTTTTTTTGTGAAATAAGGGGGATTTTTTTGTGTGAATTTGGGGTATTTATAGGGAGGGCTATGGTTTAAATAGCAAATAGTTTAATTATTTACACAGTCCCTCTAAATTTGAAGCGTAATTCATTTTGGTCATCTGCTGTAATTTTACCCTTGAATTTTGAATTAATTCAATTTGATCCTTATTTGTATTTTTTATATTTTGCAAATTGACCCCTAACTTTTTTATTTTTCCTTACAGCTTTCAATTAACATCAATTTGGCCCTTAACTTTTTAATTTTTTCCCTTCAATTTAATCCTTCCGTGATTTGGTACTGAAAGGGCAGTACAAGGGTGTTAATCATTCCTTGACTGTAATTGACTCTTGAATTTGGTTTATTTCTGGTAAAACGCAGATCCAGTAAAATGGTAAACTAAGGTATCTGATCAACCTAATTTTAAATGATCGGTGGCGACTTTAACACATATATCTAAGTTGAAGCCCGATTTCGAGCCCACCCGAAAGACGATTACGACAGTAGCCATAAGTGGGGGTTTTAGGGGGTTGAAACCTATGTTTAACCAGGTCGTTTTTGGGAAATTTAAGCCATAATAAACTTTCTTAACATTTTCCTAAGCTCCCAAACAAGTCAATAATTAATTTACATGACTTTCGTCTAGTGAGAGAAGTTGGAGAAAACTTCAAGAGAAAGGGAAAGGAGAAGCTAGCACTTGGGTGAGCCTTGAGTGTTTTAGCATCTTAGGATTCAAGGCAACGCATTTCTAACTCATCTATACCACCTATTGATCTCTAGATGTGTTTGGTTGGTTTGCAGGAGTTCATGAAGGATGTAAGAGTATCCATGGTAGATTTTAGCTTATGGTGTTATTTAGCATGTAAATTGACTTATTATGACCCCTTTAATCATACATAAGACTTAAATAACTTATAAGGGCTTTAGATGGACAAATGGGTGAAATGGGGTGTCATTTTTGTGCTCAAACAGAGCATCTCTAGGTTTGGGTATTTGTATTGGATGAACAATACCGATATTGTTTTTCAGATTGCCAAAAACAAGGGGTTTTTCATTGGTGGTATTGATATCCTATTCATAAGGTATCAATATTGTTCATTGGGTATCGATACCTAAGGGTATGGTATCAATACCATCTTTAGATTATAAATTCTACTAACCATTTTTTGTATCGATACTCAGAGATTATCGATACCATACGAAGTAGGGGTATCAAATACCATACGAAGTAGGGGTATCAATACCCCAAGTAAGGGTATCGATACTGAATTTAATTTTTCCAAAAATCGAACCTCATTTTGGTATCAATACTAAGGATGGTATTGATATCCTAGTGCAAAAGTATTGATACTCCAAATAGGGGTATCAATGTTGTCAGGTTTTTTTAGATTCCAGTATCCAATTTTGGTATCGGTACTAAGGGTGAGTATCGATATTGAAGGGTTAGTATCAATACTAAAGGGTTTAGTATCGGTACCATCATCTTGAATTGGGTAATAAATATAATTCAATCAAAAGGTTTGGGAAGGGGGTCTAACAGAACCAAAACTTCTTAAATGAACTTACAAGTGAGAACAATAAATGAACAAAGCTACAACTACTAATGATATTGAACTAAGATAACATAAGACTAGTCATTGTGTGACGCTTGGGAAACAACAAAGACACTCGAGTTACTCTAGTAGTATGACAATCGTCTTTTGTGATTAAAATATATTAATATATCTTAACTAGTGTCAAGGCACTTTAGTTACTGGCTGGGCGCAGATGCCCCAAGACTCTAAGGAGTAAGTTGGTCGGGTGTATGTTTTCGTTGCAGTTATAGATCTTACCCCAGATACCCAAGGGTATTATAGGTAGGTTAGTAGAGTGTGCATCTCGAGATGCAAAACCCTCCAACCACACCATGATGCCTACCTCAGCTTTGCATGTTAGTGTATGCCTCTGTTTGCTAGCATGCTCATGTAGCGATGCATGTAGTATAATACAATTATTAGTGTGACACTGAGCTTTTCAGAATTTGTTTCCATGTATAGGTTCTTAAGAGATCTCTCGAGGAACATTATTGTCGTTCGTGGTTCTAGACTTACCAAGGTATCAAAGTACGTCTTGAGTCTTTTTAAAGGACATGTACTATTCATAGACCTTGTACTAAGTCGTAACTCTATTTTGAAGTAATTGACATGTATTGTTATGGGATGCATTTTGAGAGCTCCCCACTTTTGCAACTTAACTATTTATGATTTTATATATGATTTCATGGGTGTTATTTTAATTGAATGTTTCAAGATTATTTTTAAAGAAAATTTTTGGATTAACCACTTCGATGATTCCATATAATACTCTAGTCCATCAATCTCAGGTAAGATTAGACTAGGGTGTTACAACTCCATTATTGATTGACATGACGTCAATATGCCACCACTTGAAAGTGTCATGATTTCTCTGAAGAGTTTGTGGTATTATATCGAGGAGTTGTCTCACTCTCTAACTGTCACAACTCCAAGGAGCCTTAAAAGGGTGATGAGAGGCCTCCGCTCAATAATTAGAATTTCTTGCTATT